ATGTAACTGTCTTTTAGAGGATAAAGAGGAATCTTTGCATAGGTAACTGTCTTAAAGAGGAATCTTTGCACACGTAACTGTCTTTTTCTTGAAGTGACTTCTTTTTGCTGGGCAACCGGGTCTGGGTTTTGAGTCGGGTCTGGTTAATACAGAGTCTGTTTTTGTGAGCAACCATGAGCAGATTGGTCTTCGGTTTCTTCAGATTCTTTTTCTTCTTCATTGTGAATTTGTGCTGTCTCTGCTTCTTCAGTGAAAATTTGTAATAGTTGCTTTTCAAGCTCTGCTTTTGTAGCCTTTGGGTTTTGCTTTCTCATAAGGGATATATATTCTGCTAGGCTATTTGGGTTGATATATGAATATGATTTGTAGGCTAATGGAATTTGTTTCATTTGAATATTATCAGGCTCCAAATTATGGTAGACAAAGACGTCCCACCATTTGATTGAAATTATTTTCCCAACACATGGAATGTATTCATAATTTTGGATATTATTTTGTGAAATTGCATATGTCCATTTAAGGATCCAAGGGATCTGATACAAAGCAATAAAATATAAGTGATAATCGATGTTGGGGTCTTTTCCATTATATTCAATAAACTTGGCTTGGGATAATTGCAGGGATTCTGGCATTATTTAGGATCTTGATCCCCATACTGCAAACCAGTTTCTGAACCAATTTGGGAATGGGTCAGATACTGGCATTTTGAATTGGATAAACCAGGTATGAGAGTTATACTGGTTTTGTATTGACAGGACTTTATGCCATGCATCAATGTAGTCAGAATATCGGTAGTATTTATTTGGGAATTTTGGGGATATCAATTTCTTTGATCTGGAAGGATCAGATCCCCATTCGCTGAATTGTAACACTTTTCTTATTTGTAATTTTGAATATGATATTATTTTGAAATTTTTCTAATAATAATGAGCCACAGTAATTGAACCAGTTTCAAGTAATATCATCTCATACCACTCTCTGGTTTTTATCCCATTAGAGGGATTGAGGTTATTACAAAGATAATATTTAGCAACAGTATTTGGGTCATCATTTATATGAATATCTTCTA